TATGCCAATCATAATTAGTGTCATTGTAAGTGTGATTTAATTGACCAATCAAACTTGAATTTCCTAATTTCATGTCTTGAAAATATAAGAAAAAATTGATGAACTCCAAAGCTCCTTTCGATCAACATTAAAAGAAGGGAAGTGCCATTAAGTTGAGAAAGAGAAGTCATATCAAAATGAAACAACAACTAATCTTATTGATAGTGTCATAATTAAATCTCACAAGGACCTTAATATTTGTTGAATCCTAGTTTTGATAATAACAAATTGGAGAAGCTTTTATTTTGCAGATGACAGTTGTTTTGAGATTTAAGGAAAATAAGGACTATATGCTTAAATCTTAGATTTGTACCCTTTCTATGTCCTTTACATTTATATTCTCTACCCTAGTCTTGAGATAAGTGTTTGAACTATCTCAATCTAAGTGAAAATAATTCAGTCTATAGCTCAAAGGCCTTTAATTTATTTTTGCTTAATTATCCATGTTCATATCGATATGAACTACTTCACAATAATATGAAACCCACTCTCATGCATCTATTAGCATTTTCCTACCGATATGAAGCTCTGCTCTCATTGCCTTCATCTTGCTTCAACTTCATATCGATACCAAGTCTCTTCAAACTGGTATGAAGGTTCAAACTTGTATGAGAATGTTCACATTAATGTGAACTTTGCTTAATCATCATCTTTTATGATTTTCATTATGGTATTAGGCCTTTCTTACTCATATGAGATTCATACCCATTTAGTTCTTTATTCATACTCATTATGGTATGAATGCTTTTCCTTGTGGTATGAACTTAAACATTTTTGCTTTGTTTTTGTATACCATAACAAAGTATTCCTCGATCACTCTTATTCAAATCTCAATTTTTTTAGTGCCTTTTAGTTGTGTTCATTATTCTACCTTCCTAGACTTCTTTTAAGCATAACCATGGGTTTGATTCAACACTTTTCATATCTTAATCTTTTCTCATACCCGTATCAAAATTATTCTATTGGTATCAATCTTTTTTTCTTTTTGTCGAAGCATTTATTGTATATAGCCGTTACTTTTTTAAGTTTACATTAACATGAAAATCTTCCAGAATTGGGATAATCAATGAGAAAACTCAGAGTAATGAAGAAGTCTTTAATGGCTAATTTATGAGTCTAACATATTTGTTTCAAGGATTAACTATAAATATAACTCATTTATAAAGGAGACAAAGAGAAGATATAGAGCCAATTACACACATTCATTTCTAACTACCTTCTACTATTATATTCAATACTTTAAGAGGTTTATTGATGGTATATTCACTATAAGAGAGAGTTTTACTCCAGCAGTGATTCATTATTAAACTCAATTTGTTCATCTCTGTATTTCACACCTAAAACAGAGTAACTTAAGCTCAGGAAGCTTAAGGAAATTTTTGATCACTTTTGTAAAGGGGAGAGTTTCAAATTTAGTAAGAAGTATGTGTTGTATTATGGCAACCAAAAGCTTGATCTTGGTGGATATAGTGATAAATCTCAAAGATACCTTAGAGACTGGACAAAGACTCAAATGGATAGAGCTGAATGAGGATAGACTCTTTGTGCAAAGCTTCTTGTCCCTTCACTCAGCTTTGTTTGGTGATATTATTTTTTTTACTTATCTTTATTTCTACATTACTTGCTTTAAATTTTAATTAGCCTAATTCATCTCTTCTTGGGTGGTTTTTACATTATTTTGACTTTCAAAGGAGGTAATATGCCCAACAAATATCATGTACCTATATCAATGGTGCTAGAGAACAATAGTATTGATGATTTTTGAGCTTGAAGCATGTAACAACATAAAAATTAAAGAACTCTAGTCAAATCATATTAAAGTTCTTGTTTCTATCCTAGATATAAGCATTGTTGAGACTCAAGAGGTAACTCTAAATCAAGAAGAAGAGCAATTATGAAAGCAAATTCTACCCAAGTGGCTAAGAATTTTGAGACAATTAATATGATATTCAATTTCATCCGGCTATTGTTCTAACTCATTTGTCTACTATGCCCTCTAGTGCTGATATTATTGCAATTGTGGAAGAACAAGTTGTTCTTGAATCACATAGTCCCCTCCAATATTATATTGTTCGTTTGAAAAGATTTTCATATTTGTATGTTGTACTTCTACATCCTTAAATTGTTTATTATCTATTTGATGCAATTTATTGGTATTTGATTTTCTGAAGATGATTTTCAAACAAAGACACAATTTGAAATCTCTTGATCTCATCGTACTTCTTAAGCATATCCACAATTTTACTTTTCGGAGGAGAGTTCTTCAAGTTGGGAAAAAATGATGGGAATAAGAAATGAAGGAAAGAAAAAGAAATAATTGAAAATATTGAAGATTTAAGGAGATTTGAAGATTGAAGATATTTTATCCTATTAATTAAGAATATTTTATTTTAATTATGATAATATTTAAATTATTGTCATCTTTCAATATTTATTATTATCTTTTCATTTAATTTTAGAATTTCTAGAATTTTCTTGTATTTACTTTCTAGGATTAAGTTGAGGCTCATAAATAATACCTTAACTCATTTTCTTTGTAAACATGCCTTTGATTAAATTGTAATTGCTATTATATTGCCCCTCATCTAAATTTCTTTTTTCTCTGTATTTTCTCTACTTTCTCTCTATCTCTTTTTCTACTCTTTTCTCTTATCTTCTCCAGTTTCCCTTCTCCGTTCTACAAGTTGTTTCTGGTGGCAAATCTAGGTAGTCATGAGGGTAGGCAAGTGCCCGCCCTAATTAAAGTGGAAAAAATTACAATGAGTGGGTGGAATTTTTATAAATTTGTTTCCATTACCCTAATAATTTTTAATCCACTAGATTCAAACTAAAATATATTTGAATTTAAAAAAATTGAGTCCTTTATATTTTACTTAACCCTAATAGATTTAAAATTTTGAATAAATAATATTTAAATTTAGATTTTTTATAAAAATATCACCTTAATTTTTCTTTTCTAATGTTATTTCACAAAGCTAAATATTTATTATATATATGTTAAATTATTTTTATATTTTATATATTTATGCTCCAGTGGCTCAAGATCTTGCGTTTATCACCGGTTGTTTCCTCTTATTAAAAAGAAAAAAAAGAAAAAAGAAAGAGAGAATAACGTTTAGAATCCTGGATGAAAAAAATGGCAGTGAGAGTGCAGAATAACAAAAAGTTTTGCACGTATAACTGAATTGCTAAACCTTGTCTTGTATATTGTAGAAATTTTTGTTATTCTGAGCTCTCACTATTTTTTTTTTAAATTTGAGAGCCCTGAATGTGATTCTAAAACACACACAATATAAAAGGTTATCTTTACTTAAACTATTTTGTATATTCACTCTTTTGGCAATGGGGAGGATTTGGAGTGGCGATGACTGGTGAGAGAAATCTCTAGAAAGTAGAAACGCGCTTGCTTTCCTTTATGGGTGGTGGCATTATGCTCATGCTATTGTGATCTGATCATCGACGACGGAGACAAAAATCTCCACCCCTAGCATAAAAATATGGGTCGCCATATACCAATAGCTTAATTAATTTAATAAAATATTTTTTATTTATTATGAATCATGATATGATTATAATTTTAAATATTAATCCTAGAATAAGTGTCTTTATTAGTTTAATAATCAATTTAATCTTCAGTACTTTGTATGGACGAAACCTGTAACTACATGCTATCCAAAAAATGACAATCCTCTCTCTGTCTCTCTCTACTTTCTTTTATTTCATTTATAAATTACTTTTACCATTTTTGCTAGAAGCAAAGAAAATATTAAACTTTATCCTTTCTAAATATAATAAAATAACTTAGCATTTAATAATATTCCTAATATTTAATAGAAAAAAGGGTAAAAATAAACATAATAATTATTGAGGTATTTAATAAATAAGATCAAAATAAATAAATACTCTCACTTTCCACTTTATATAAATAAAGAGTATATTAATTTATCAAGAGAAGTGGAATCTCAATCTGTAAAGTCAACAAAAAAGACTCGCATTTTCTCCAATTCCAAAATAACTCATTACTTTTTTTAAAAAAAATATTATTCAAGGATCATGGAAGCAATTAATTTAATATTAAATAAGAATCAAAAGATTCAAAAATATCACCATAGGGGTAGGAGACTGATTTAAAAATAAAATTTGAATGAAAAAAGACTATAATACCCTTATTTTTCTTTTGTATTTTTTTTAAAAAAACTTTTCAACTAGCTAATAATTTTTTTAAATGTAAATAGATACTTGTTAATTAAGTATGACTATTTGTTGAAATATAATATACAATTGTCCCTTTCACAACCAAGTTTTTTCAAATTTTTAAACTTGTTAATTAGAGAATATTTTGAATGAGTATTTGTTAATTAATGAATGCTTATTTGTTAGAACGTAATCTACACTTGTCCCTTCCCACAGTTAAATTCTTTGAGACTATTAAATTTATCAATTAGTGAATAATTTTTTATTAAATACTAAAAGGTACTTGTTAATTAATGAATAATTACTTGTTGAAACATGATCTGCAATTATTCCTTTCCACAATCAAGTTCTTTTAAATTATTTAACTTGTCAATTAGTGAATAACTTCTTATAATACAAATAGATACTTGTTAATTAACAAATAGTTACTTGTTGAATTATGATTTATAATTATTCCTTTCAACAATAAAGTTTTTTTATATTCTTGAATTTTTCAATTAGCAAACAATTTCTTATTAAATGCAAATGAGTATTTGTTAATTCACAAAAGATTATTTGTCAATAAAAAAAAGTATTATAGTCTTTTATCATATAAAATTACTTTCAAATCAATCTTCTAATTTTATAGTGATATTTTAAAATATTTTGATCTTTGGTTGTCATTAAATACTTCCAGTGGCCTTTGAATAATATTTTTCCTTCTTTTTTTCCTTTCTTTCCTTTTTAAACCCCTCAACTTTTCACTCGTCAATGCACATCGATCCATTTCAATACAAACTACAACTTCACAACAACAGTCTCCGTATGCGTACCCAGAAACCAAATCAAACCAAACCAAAAGCAAACTCATCATCATCATCATCTCTCTATGGGTTTAAGCAATAACATCACAGCAGTGGTTAACTTCATAGCCCTTTTATCTTCAATCCCCATTATAGCAGCAGGAATATGGCTAGCTTCAAAACCAGACAACGAATGTATCCACGACTTTCGTTGGCCCGTCATCGTTTTGGGCATTCTGGTTCTTGTCGTTTCTCTGGCTGGTTTTCTTGGAGCTTACTTTTACAGACAATGTCTTTTAGCCTTTTATCTTGTCTCTATGGCCTTGCTTATCGTTCTGCTTCTTGTCGTTCTTGCGTTTTCCTTCTTCGTGACCAATCCTGATGGAAGCTTTCATGTTCCTGGTCGAGCCTATGATGAGTATAATCTTGAGGGTTTCTCTGGTTGGCTCAGAAACCATGTTACGAGTCCTGAATCAAGGTGGCATAAGATAAGTACGTGTTTGGCTGGTTCTAACGTTTGCACTAAGCTCCCTGAGGATTACGTCACTTCTGATGAGTTTTTCAACTCTAATCGTATTTCTCCTTTGCAGGTATAATTTAATTTCCTCATCCTTTGTATATTTCTGAAATTCCCTGATTAAATTATTGGTCTCTCTCTTTGATATATGAGAACAAGTTCTCTCGTTTATTATTATTTTTTTTTAAATAATCGTTTTCTTCTTCACTGAACTCTCAATCTTCTTGACCCCGCCAGTTTTCCTCATACTCGGTCTTTCTCCAGGCTTGTTCTTGTAATTAGTACTTACTCCTCCAACCATGCATATAAATCATTTCTATTAATCTCATCTCATTAATACCATTGCAATATATATATATATATATATAAGAAATAAAAGTGTTTAGAATTTCAAATATATCTCTATATAACAAATCCAAAAAGTAATGTTATGTTACTTTTTTCTTTCTTATGAAAAGTAATTTTAAAGATATTTTTTAAATATTATCTAAAAAGTTATACTGTAACTCATAAATAAATTTAAATAAACCTTATAGAATGTGTCTCATAAATGAGACCGGAGGGAGTACTCTTCTTATTAGAAGATACTTTTTAGAAGCATTTTTTTAATCTTTAATATAAGGTTGGTTATTACACTTTCTCATTTTACTTTTATTGTAAATTTAATTTTATGACTCATCATGTATTGTGTATTTCTCTCTTTTTATTTTTAATAGGGAAAAAGTCAGATTTTTTTTATTTTAACACATATTTAATGAATTAATTGTCAATCATTAGTTTTCATGAAGCAGTTGAATGTATCTTATAATAGAAACTAGTTGGGTAACTAATGAGTATTGAAAAACAAAATAGAAATGGAATGTGTTTGACAAAAAAAGAAAATTTAAAGACTAGATTTTGAATTGATAGAGGGGTGTAAATTACAGAAAGATATAAGTGGATAACTTATTTTTTTTCACATCTCTCTCACCTCGTGATTCTCATCTCTCTATCATTCTTATCTTTCAGCCAATTTATAATTTTATTTAGTTTAGTTTATTCTTTTTTTTTTGACCAAATAGTTTATTCTTTATTAATTCATCTAATTCAATTCCTTAGTATTTGTGATTTTTTGGCCCCCACATACATATCACTTTACCATTTTGCACGTAAGATCAGAGGCTAAGATACCAAAGCTTGTACAGTATTAAGGTTTTAAATCGTTAAATGCAATTTGACTGGTCAAATTAAGATAAGCATTAGCAAATAGCAATGAATCTTAGTTGTGAAGTAGCTTGGTCATCACGGGACAAGAGTAGATAAAGAATAGTGTGACTTTTCTATGTTTCTTTTTTTATTAAGGAAAAAAAAAAAAGAGAGAATCAAGTGGGATCTATAGTTTTCTATCTTATTTAACTCTGCCCCACCACCCCACCACATATGACAAAGGTTTAACTGTTTAATTTAATAATCTTAGGAAACTTTTCATCAGTCATGCTCATGAGCACATCAAATACTTTGATTTTGTACATGTAAGGCAATTTATATACTCCATCTGTATCACAATATATGATGTTGATGATTAATTTATAGTTTTTTTAAAAAAAGTTAGTTGAAATCTTAATATTTTTTAAAAATTATATCTTTTCACTTATACCCTTATTAATATCTTATATAAGTGTTTTGATAATGACAATTGAAATTTCAATATATTATTTTTTAAAAAAAGTAATAAGTAATATATAGTTGAAAAATAATTGTAAAAATTACTCAATACTCTATTTTAGATAAGCAAGACTTCTAAAAATATTATATATTATGATCCAAAAGGAATACATAGTATATACAAATCACTAGGACTTCATGTTTGGCATTGGTTACTTAAATATGAAGTACTTAAAGACATAGAGGGGATGGAAGTTTCATTTAAAAAAATGGAGAAATAGAGTTAAAAAATTTTAATTAATTTTCCTTACTCTCTTAATTAAAATATTATTTTTATTAAGATTTTATCATCCTACGTATGCATTTTAAAAAAAAATCGTTAAAACATTAGAATCTTCCTCCTCTCTCCTCTAACAAACAGAGGGTAAAAGATGCTTAAAAGATTTTCATGGCTTGAATCAGCATTGCCTCAGATTGCTTCATTCTTGGGCATGGCCCATTTTTAAATGCCCAGTAAGGTTTGTGCCAACTCAAAAGGCTACTAGGAACACTCATCGCTCACCCTGAAATCATGCAAATCGAGACAGAATTAAAATAATTAAAAGCACATTTTCTAGTTATATTTTACATTGCACAACTTGTGAAAAAGGTATGAATATGATAAGATCCCCCAAAAAGAAAAACCCAAAAAAAAAAAACACACACACACGCAGAGAGGCTGGCTTTTGCTGATAAACAAAAAGAATTAGGGTCAATCGTTGAATCAATAAACCGTGTCTTAACCTTTTAATAAAACAATTTGTTTATGATCAATTTGGTCATGGTTCGATAATGGTTTTAATCATTAACTCTTGAACTTATATTTTGATTGGTTTGATTTTTAATACCTAGTTGGTTTCACTATACAGTCAGGATGCTGTAAGCCTCCAACAGCATGCGAGTACAACTATGTGAACCCGATATTGTGGGTGAACACAACAAATCCAATGGATAACCCAGATTGTTACATGTGGAACAACGACCAGGTTCAGCTGTGTTATAATTGCAATGCATGCAAGGCTGGTCTGTTGGGAAATCTTAGAAGAGAGTGGAGGAAAGCCAATATGATTCTGCTTGTGGCTCTGGCGGTTCTCATTTGGGTCTACATCATTGCCTGTAGTGCCTACAAGAACACAAGAAGAGAGACCCTTTTCCGCCATTTCAAGCAGGGTTGGTTTTGACATGTTTCTGCTAATTTTGCTCATTTTTGTTGTCTTCTACATTGACCCAGTAGGATTTTGTTGTGTTTGGTTTCAATCCTCTGAAATTCTCAATTCTCAAGTGTATGTGAACTTTGAAAATAGAAGATAGAAAGTTGAGTGGAAGAAAAATAAAATAAAATGTAAACTCCATGCACATTTACACTCTTCGGGTCACTCTTCAAACTATTCCTTGTCCTGTGTGTTTGCTGCTAAACACCCCCCTTTTTTTCTCTGCACACCTGGAAATGATTTGAGAGTTCCTACAAGGTTCAAAACCATTAAATACTAAGCCTATTGCTAATTGCTATGTAAAAATGAGAATATAATCTGAAGAATTCCTTCCTTCTAAGATATATGATTCTCCTATTTTATTGGTTCTTGTCTGTCTTTTTCTTTTCTTTCTCCCTCTCTTATATTAAACAAACCAGTATTCAAAAGTCAGGCCAAGCTCTAAAGTCCCAATAAGAAAAAGCTCTCCCAAACAACTTTTTGCATTCACATGGACTCAATTCTGAAACTGAAACTTCATGTTTAAACTTTAAACAACCACAGTCCCTTCTATTGTATGGCTCTCACATCTGTCTTTTAAACAACGTAATTTGTACCCATCCTACCAACAATGTTGTAATTTGTATGGCTCTCACATGGTTATGCACGTGCCTTGAGGCAAGCACAAATGGTCCTTTTGATGCTTATGTTTGGTTTGGATAGAGAGAAAAGTGGGAGGAAAATAGAGGAGGAGGAAAATTAGGAGGGAAAATGCCAAAAATGGTACACGAATTTTTTTTTTCTATTTTTGGCAATTTTCCCTTCTAGTTTTCTTTCCTCCATAAATTTCTCCCCATCCAAACCAAGAGTTAATGAAAGGCTATTGGAGATTTACAGTACATGAAAGAACTCGTGTAAAAGTGTCAAAATACTAAAACAAATTATGTGCAATATGAATAAACTATTTCATCGTATCAAAGACAACAAGACTAAATGATTTGACTAGTTCTGAGTTTACATCTCTTAAGCGGCAGAGAGCTTCCTAGAGTAAACAATGTACATTGGATCTGATCGTCCAGGATTGGGAGTTATATCAACAGCCTGCAGAGAAGTGAAAAACAACATAAGAAACTGCAAAGCAATTGACTTGAAGACTCAGCCATGAAAACAGTGTCACCGAAACTGCAAGGGCAATAACTTAAAGACTCGGTGAGAAATTTTAAAAAGATGCTGCCTTAGGGAAATTAGTTGGGTGCGGATTCATCAGAACTTAAGCAGAGTATGTGACAATGCACATGACTAATCTTTTTCCACGTGGGCGTGGAAAGTTAATATCAATTACCTGGGGAGGTTCAAATCCTCCAGCGTAATGGAAATACGACCCAACAATCATAACATGATCGGCATCCCCAGTTGATGTCCATATAGAAATTGCTTTTGTCCAGAAGCAACGATTTGAAAAACTAAAATCATGAAACAGTGAAATTATCAGCAACTGAACAGGACATAACAGATACAAGACCAAGAAAAAATATACATGTGATACAAGAAAAATTATCTGCAGGTTGATACGGATAAAATGATATTTAGAAGCTTTAGATCTTGGATATCACCAAAAACACTGGTAACTAATACACTCTAGTTGTAGCATTTCAAAAAATGGGAAAAGCCAAGTTTTAACACAATAAAGATTATATTAACTTCTACTTAACTATGGAACTTGCTCAAGGTAAAGTTGTAGTCATTTGTTAGTCTTGCTTTGTTATGCAAATCGAAATGAGATATTGGGAAGAATCTATTTAATTATTAGTAATTTATTTTAATGTAATGACTATATTTCGCTTCCTGCTAGGCTTTCTCAGGTTATAGCCTATTTTATGCTTTTTTTTTTTTACTAGAAATTTAAGCCATGTTCTCTTTTATTTTTAAGTTAGCATTTATTTCATTTTAGGTTTAAGTTATTATTTTTGTGTTTATGAATCTATATGTAGCCCTATAGTTATTCTCATTGTAGACCTTATGATGAGTTGTCAATGAGACTAAATATTTGCCGTCACCTCTCTCCTGCTATCTCTTTGCTCTACGTCCTTCCTTTTCTCCCTCCTTTCTTCCCCCCTCCCCCTCTCTCTTTCCCCTTGTCCTGCATTCTCTTTCCCCTTGTCCTGCATCAGATTGCATCCAAATCTACCAAGTTCATTGGTTTGAAAATAAAGAGGGCACCATAGATTGCATGCAAATGTTAGTATGCATGGGAAGCCTTCGTTAGACAGCCTTATATTTTATTTATTTAGTTCCATCTTTCCTCTTCTTATCTCGGGCAATAGGAATTATTTAGCTCTGATAATGGATTGCCTAGTCATGCCAGTTAATGGAACATTCAAATATGCCACAATCCTAAAGGAAAATACTTCATCACAGAGTATTTTTTCTTAAATAATATTAATAAAAATTGCAGATGTTTAATGCAGAAATTTTGAATCTAAAGTGATTCCAAAACTGATAGTCCACAATATTATTACCTAATTATGGCCAATCCACCTGGTTTAAGTATCCTGCACATCTCCTTGAAAACATCTAGAGGCTTTGTCAGGTAATCAACACTGACCTGCCAGACAAAGATTTCAAATTTCAAACTTCATACGGCAACCATACAAGGCATGGACCATGACAGAATCTGGACTCACTTCACAGTCCTATTTCCAACATAATCAACTATCTAATTCTGAATGATCATCATTTCAATTGCAATTGTGATTTTGTCAAGCAGCTGTCATGTTGAGAAGGAAGGTGCATTTGCATCAAGAGTGTTACACAAAACTAGTGAACAGTTAGTGTTCCAGGATGTCACCCAACAACTATGATAAAATAAGTTATAATCCTATTGTGAGATGAAAAGATTTCTATCTATAAGTTAGACATAAGTACAATCAGCATTTATTGTTGGAACTGGTAATTGTGATGGTAGCAACGTAGGGGGAGTTCAATTACCTTTTCGACAGAATCCATGACTTAAAATTACAGTAACTGAGTCATAAGCATTAACATTCAAAAAGAAAAACTTTTATATAGAGAATATAAATCTTCATAACATGACAAGAGACTAATATGCAGACAAAAATCCAGTGTGGATATACAAACATGGCACCACTTGCAAAAGCAGCAACAAATTTTAAGATTAGGAAAAGATTTTGTACCACATTAGTAATGATGTCGAAGGAGTTATCCTCAAATGGCAGTCTGGGGTTCACATTTAAGTCTTGTACAGCATACTCTGTAAGAATCTACAGAATCAACCGTTTTTATGAGTTTAGGTTTGTCTTCCTTGGGGACATAACTTTAAAGTACATCATATAAAAAAACTAAATTACAAGGACACAATTAATGCTAGATATCAGATTTAAAACGAAGACTACAGATTTAGAACATTAGAGTTATGTTTCTCATGCAGAGTAGAACTATTGAATGTTATAAGACCATATTGTTCCAGATTTAAACTACACTAACCGAAGCTTTAGTAATATATTCAAGCTATATAATCATGACTGAATATGAATAATCAATTCAATATAAAGTCAGATTTCATGGCACTGAATTCAGTATTACAATTAAGGCCAATGGCCACCACATGGAGTACAAGAATATCAACTTACTGGATTTCTCTTCAGCTCTTCTTCATTCATTCCCAGTCCCACCACTCGTTCTTGTTTGTAACCGGGTGGAAAATGGCTGACCTAATAGTGAAAAGTTTAATACAAATATGCAGCACAGAAAGAAACTAGATTACAGTAAGAAATATCTTACCCAACTGCTGCACATATCTAAGATGCTTACACCTGGAGTGTTGCTGGGTGGAAAAACTTTTGAGTAGTAGTTAGTAAGAGCAGCAATAGCAGGGTCATCAATGTGTGTCACAAAGCGAGGTGCTTCATAGAACAAGGAATCTGGAGACCTAAATGGAACATTTTCATGTCATATAAACCCAAAAATGAAAAAGAGGATAAAATGAGGGGAAATTGAAAAGAATAAGAACCCACAACTTGGCTGACAAACAGTGAGAATTCAAAATTAAAGAAATTGATCCAGGGAACAAAATGATTTAATCTCATGCATTACTCAAATTACATACTAGATGCTACTCAAATATAAGTTTCAATAGATGTAACTTGTTTTTCTCGATGATATCTCTTGCAACTGATTTATCCACTACATAGACGAGAAATGGAAAGCCATTATTAGATAGAGACAATTTCTAAGATCCTTTGCTAGAAAAAAGGCCACGCAGATAAGCCAACTTCTCTTTTTTCGTGTTATGGAACTGCTGAACAAGACCCATGATTTTCAGACACTATGGTCAGTTTCAGTTATATATGATTCAGAATTTCCACAGATATTCACTTCAAACTAATTAAAGACCAATAACAACAAGCCTTATCCTGCTAGGTGGAGTCCACTATATGGATTGTACATTTATACTATGCCATTGTGCTCTATTATTTACTAAACTTTTAATAATGTTAACTAAGAGTTCTCGTCAACAACTTCTATAAGTGTTCTCTTTGTCCTTCCTCTATCTCTCTTAATAGGACTCAAAATTATTCATTCAACTCTCCTCATTGGTGCCTTCTGCGATTTTTTTTGTGTATGTCCAAACCATCTCAAATGATTTTTTTTTTTTTTTTACATCTCAAACCATCTGATAGAGGTAGAAGAGAAAAAGGGAGAGTGTTGAGAGGCAGAAGGAGAATAGAGAGAAAGAGAGATTAATTCCATTCATAATAACTCGTTACAACCTAAAGGCCTATTTATAGAGAATATACTAAATACCCATACTATCCTTATATCCCTAATTCCCTAATTATCCCTACTATTCCTAATTCCCATGTATCAATATACTCCCCCCTAAAAGAGATCCTTGTCCTCAAGGATCAGCACAAAACCTGAAAGTAAAACATATATATCTAGAATAGTTTTTTTTTTTTTTTGGATCTTAAGGTGCTAAAACATGTATATATATATATATATAATTTGAAGACAAATACATTAATGGACATCAAAAGCCCAAACTTTTTGTAGTTGTTGTTCAATCCAGAAGCCCACTGTCACCCTCCATAATTGCATCAGAACCACATTTGAAACAATGGGGTCCTTAAATTGGACTTGATGCATTGTTGTACAGAGGCCCACATCTAGCGTCCCATTACTTCCAAAAGGCATTTGCACTATTGGGTCATTTGGGGAAGGCCCAAATTCATCCTCATTAATCAGCCAAGGCACATTGGAAATGGCTTGCTTGCCGCATTTCATATTGCCACATTGAGAACACTTGGAGGAAATAGAGCTAATGTATAGCACGAGTAGCATTGAAAAAGTTGAACCTGAAAACGACACATGGCGGCAGACGCACTTCCTCCCCATGAAAGAAGATTCAAGAATGCTCAACAAAAGCCTGAAATCTGTTTCTTTTTGCGAACACCACTCAACGTCCTCATTGCCGAAGAAAAGTTGAGAAACTTCCTTGAAAACTCGAAGGCCATGATCACTTGCAAAGCTCCACCCAACCAATTATCGTCAGAAGACCGACCCGACTTGAACACAAAATTTCCCCAACCCAATTCACCTCTTGGTTGTCCTTTGTGTTCATCAGCCGATATTCTGGTTTCAACCTTGCAGCCAGAAACTCTCTGCCGGATGAACAGAGTGATCTCCGATACAGTATTCAAGGAGCTAGACAAGTAACAAGTGAACTTCTTGCGAAACTTGTTTGCTAGATTAGAGGAAGGATCGATTGTTGGTGAATGGAGAAAAGGAAGGATGGAAAAAGGAGAGCCAAAGAATGAGAAACAAAGTTTAGAACTAATGCGAAAATTTCCAATTAAGCATGATCGAAGCATCGTTCTCTCCTCAAATTTTTGGCCTATCAGTTGCTTTGCATCTTGAACACCGTATATCTCTTCAGTCCTTTCCCCTCGCCCATTAATCACATTGATGTTGTTGTCACCATTGGTTGGATCTGCAATTAACATTGTGTTAGTAGAAGAAGCATAAGAAGTCAGAGGGCCATGAGAAGACTTGGCAGCTTGGTGTTTCTCCTTCGCTTCACTATCATGCTTCTTTTGGTTTTCCACATTGCTTGAAATGACATCGTCCAATTTCAGGGCATCGACATTCCCTGTCATGGTCAGTTCATCCGTCATCTCCTTGTCAACAAGGGTGAATGTTGAATCTACACCCATCTCTTTGATAATTGGTTCCTCATGCTTTTCTCTTTCACATAGGATGCTCGTTGATGTGAGTACTCATTCACGGTTGTACTAGATGTAAAGGTAATCATTGTTGGTTGCAGGCGCTAGTTGACAAGCACAGAGAGCTTAACCAAGATTTCATGCATCTGTTGAGAAATGTGAGACATGGTTTGCTTGATCTCACCAAAGTTGTGAGTCTGTTGGTCTAATGTCTGCTGGTTGCATTGAAGCAAAGTCAATTGCATCTCCAAGAGAGCACCAATGTGTTCATTGGATCGGCTCTCCAGCAGAGCCATGGCCAGAGAGAAGACTTTGATATCTTTGATAGAGGTAGAAGAGAAAGAGGGAGAGAGTTGAGAGGCAGAAGGAGAATAGAGAGAAAGAGAGAGATTAATTCCATTCATAATAACCCATTACAACTTAAAGGCCTATTTATAGAGAATATACTAGATACCCAAACTACCCTTATATCCCTAATTCCCCTAATTATCCCTACTATTCCTAATTCCCATGTATCACCATCTCAATCTAACTAAAGACTGTTCATTAGAATTTAATAAGAAACTATAAAAGACATTAGAGAAAGCAAATTTACTACTTTTAGATAAAGAATAAAAAAATAAAAACGCAAATTATATAATCCCAAATTCCTCAGGCCACTAGTTGTGAAATTTACTCATCAAAACGCCGGAAGTCCTCCTCCTTGAAGGGATACTGCTCTGGCCATTCCACATTCTTCAGTAACTTCATAATGAAATAAGTCGCGAAATATTAGAATAGCCAATAAGATAGAACTAGCAACAAACATTTTTGTAACAAACAAAACACGACTTTAGAGCATCTACAGATTTCAGTTGGAAAATTCTTTTGCCACAGAATTAAGTTTGACATTGGAATAGATGCTGACTGTGGCACCGTGGCCAGTTGAAAATAGGATTCCCCCCCAACCCCCCAAAAAATAGCTTGAACTAGTTTAAGCATCATTCATAACATATCTATCCTGGCCTGTCAGTTTTAGAAGCAAATTTATCAAATAGACATATATATTGCTTTGCTCATCTTAATTAATCAACTTTAAAGCCAAAAAAATTCACTTAATGCACCAATATCAAGTGGTTGATATGAGTGGAAATTACTCTTCTTGAACTCCAGCATTGTGAACCAATGCCAGAGGGGGAAAATTAACCTAATGCAAATTCAAGTATTTGACAACGGAGATATCAATCAAGTAGAAAAATTGGAAGTCCACAAAGAAGAAGAAATCGAATTGCGAATTAATAACAAGTGAGATTACCTCGTCAACGGAGGAACTACCCTTAATCCTGGCGGACGCAACGAAGGACCTACTGGTCCCATTTCCAGCCATACTCGCAAACTGAAGCAAGAATGAAGATCCCGCGCCGAGTACCGTGCGACGAAGAGCTTTACCCCTGTAATTCCACTGCTTTACACCAGCGACGACAGCAGGATATATGGACGAACAAGTACACACCCCAGTGGCTCCACCAACAAAAGTTCGCCTCCAGTGAAGCTTGAGACCAAGAAAACTGGTCATCTTGGGCCTTCGCTACGCGATGATGATACGCTTGAAGCACCCAAGTGATGAGGAGAGAATGGAAAGGTCACCGTTGGATAATCTTCCTTCATCGTTGATCTCGTCTGACTACAAGTGATGGACGTACGGTTTACGTGGCTATACGATATTCCCCTCTTTCACACTCCTGTCCGTCGCTGCACGAGCTATTATCAAGTACGAAAAAATCTAGTTGGCCTTAAACTCCACGGACCAGAGAAGCCTCCCCTACCTTTTCTTTCTTTGAGGCAGAAGGAATGTGAATCATTAGTTTAATACTTGGAAAAATGATAATTAGGTCTCAAAGGACTAATTTTATTCAAGATAAGTCCTAAAATATTTTGAAAGGCCAGTTAAGTCCCTAGGTCCTTGAGTGGCATTTTAATATAATAAGAAATGACCGAAATACCCTTATTTTGGCTGATGAAAATGTGAGGTTTCTCCTTCTCTATTCTTCCCTGCCCTATTCGTCATCTCTTCTTTCCCTACCCTGTTCCTCGTCTCTTCTTTCCCTGCCTTGTTTATCGTCTCTTCCCTGTCTCATTGCAAGCGAGTAAAGCTCTCTGTCATCTCTTCCCTAAGCTGTCTAATAAAGCTGTCTATCATCTCTATTCTAGTCCTATTTAACATTTCTTCTCTGCCCTAAGTGATCAGTTGCTTAAGTTATTAATCTGTAATATGTTTTGGGCATTAATCTTTGATGGGTGTGATGCATTTGCCTAGCTGAAGAGTCTGATCCTCATTAACATTTACCATTTCGATTATGCAGAAATTGCTTCTTCAATTTTTTCCCCTAAGTGTCTTAGCTGAAGGGGACTATGTAGTTTGTACAAGTGATGACATGCTTAAATGGATTTTAAGTTCGAAGTTATACATTGTACCCAATTAATCAAGTTTGCAACTTTGTAACTCTGTAATTTGTTTTCACAATTTTATTCCCAACGTCTAATATTAAAATGCATTTATAATGTTCAAGTTATACATTATACTCAATCAATCAAGTTGTCAAGCAACTTAGATATCCAGTTTTGCAACTAGCTCGAGACAAATTTGCCACTGCTTGTCAAATTTTTGGATGGAAGAACCATTAAATTTTTAAAAAAGTTATTATTGTAGGACAACGCTCCAGTAATTTGTAATTCAGACACCAGATTTTGCAACTGTCTTATGAATAATTTGCAATTTCTTTTCAAAATTTTGGGTGGAAGAACTATTGAATTCTTAAAGTTAATATTGTAGGATAATGCTCCAGTAATTTGCAATTGAGACACCAGATTTTATAACTTTCTTACAAATAATTTGCACCTCCTTCTCAAAATTTTGGGTGGAAGAACTATTCAATTTTTGAACTTGCAAAGCTACTAAATTATTTTAGGACATGGCTCCAGTAATTTGCAACTGACATACCAGATTTTGCAACCTTATTACAAATAAATTGCAACTCCTTCTCAAAAATTTAGGTGGAATAACTTTTGGATTCTTGAACTTACAAAGCTATCAAATTATTTTAGGATAACGCTCCAGTAATTTGCAATTGACATACCAAATTTTGTAACTTTATTACGAATAATTTGCAACTCCTTCTCAAAATTTTGAGTGGAATAACTTTGAATTCTTGAACTTGTAAAGCTACCAAATTATTTTAGGATATGGCTCCAGTAATTTGCAACTAATATACTAAATTTTGCAACTTCTTTACGAATAATTTGCAACTCATTCTCAAAATTTGGGTGGACTAGCTTTTAAATTCTTGAACTTGCAAAGCTATCAAATTATTTTAGGAGATGACTCCAGTAATTTGCAACTAACATACTAAATATTGCAACTTCTTTACGAATAATTTGCAACTCATTCTCAAAATTTTGGATGGAATAACTTTTGAATTCTTAAACTTGCAAAGCTACCAAATTATTTTAGGACATGGCTCCAGTAATTTGCAATTGATATATCAAATTTTGCAACTGCCTTACAAATAATTTGCAACCTCTGTTCAAAATTTTAAGACAACATACTTTTAGTGATTACAACAAATATGAACTGTACATATAAGTTACATGTATTAATTCATCTAATGCATCTGCACATATCAGTTGTCCACATACACAAAAGCATGAACTTGAATTTATAAAAGAGGGGTTGCTATGTATCAAAAAAACCCCCAATACTACCAATATATATGTATAAAAACCTATATATGTTAACCAAATCTAACTTGATCTAAAACTACCCATATATGTATATCACCCAAATTCAAGTTCATGTGGTAACCCATTTACAATAACATCAACTTGAATTTAGATTTCTACACCTCTTCCTTGTACGGTCTGCTTCATGACAATGAGAACAATAATAAACCTTCTTCTGTTGATATTGAGACTCAATCCTCACATGACAAGGTCTGCCAGCTGATCGAGATGTTCTAGGAGGTAGCAAAAAGGTTTGGCTTATGAGCTTAGATACTCTCAATGCATTTGGCTTTGACATCTCATAGGTCTCAACATGATGCATAGTGCCATTGTATATTTTCTCCTATGAACTACGAAGATAACATGCATAGTGCAACACTATACTTGTAGATTGCTTGTCTACAATCATCAGCACTCGCAAAAATCTGCTCAGGTCCTACTAGTAAATCTTTTCACTTTGTTGCATTTAGCTCAGGCATTGGTGTTGGGATACTTTGTATTGCACATGGTAGAACTTCAAGATCTTGTGTAGCATGTGAATTCTCAACTGAACATCCTACTCTGCATTTTCATTCAAATCATGTTTATTACTACCATCCATATTCATATTAACATAATATTAATTATGCAACTATTAAAAAAACTTACCCATCAATTGAATCTCTTGTTACCTCTATACTTTGCTATATCTTCCCAATGATGTACACATGAGCAAAATTATCATTTAATTTCATTAATTGATTTATCCCTTCATCATCTTTAAGGTCTAAAAGAGTATTGCAATTAAACTTTACTGTGTACTTCAACTCTATTCCATTTAAATCACAATTTAAGCATGATGAAATCAATCTAACAAGTCCTTCAAGAGACATTCCTTCTCTAATCATTCTTCCATTACAACTCCCCCCATCATAATGCATTGTCCTATGCATATCTTTTACAATATCTCCATTAAAATGAAAATAACAAAAAATTTCCTTTAAACAACTACTTTTCATCGTACCCAATAATATCAACCTATAAGAAACAAAATAAAATGTAATAATATATCACTTAGAAACAAGTTACTTTTGACATAAGTGATTTTCACATCAGTTAAACAGTGACAACGTTTCATCTTAAAATATGGACACTCAATAATAATTTCTTACACTTTCAGTTGCAAAATGTCGAATCTTCATGTCAAATATTTAGAAACATGAAATAAAAAAAAATATTTCATGTTCAATTGCAGAAAACCGTTCCATCTTTTTCCTTACGAAAGCTATTTTGCAAGAAATCAAACCTTCATGGAGTAAACCTTTTTGTTCAGATGCAAGGATTTGCAAAAAAAAAAACCTATCTGCACGCACCAGCACAACTCCTTAAGCTTTCTTGAGTCAATAATTAAGGCAACTCACCTCTTCCAAGCATAACTCTATTTCAGGAATGGGTATTCTTCAATGTACAGTTCCACCACTTACATGCAGCTCTCATCAATGGCGGGAAAAAGATAAATCGGGAGGGAAATGTTGGACCTGATGAGTGTACATGTTATATTTACTCATAGGGGCATTTTCGTCATTTCCTTTGTAATTCTGATTGGGAAAAAATAGCATGGGACTTGATTGGCCTTTTAGAATTAGTTGGGACTTAACTGGTATAAAATTGATCTTTTGGGACTTGATTGTCATTTTCCCTTAATATTTTTATTTTTTATTTATATTTTTAAAATAATATATATATATATATATATATAAATTGTAAAAAATTTTAAAAAATACACTTATCAATCTGACAATTTAAATTTAATATAAATGATCTAAATTTATTATAAAAAATTTAAATTGACTTTTTAGATATATTCTAGAAAATGTAAATATATTTTGAACAAAAAAAGTAAATTTGTCAAAAAATTTTAATATTAAATTTAAATCATCTATATTAAATTTGGACTGTCAAATTAATAAATATATTACTAAAAATTTACAATTTTTATATATTTTTTCTTTTAAGAATATAAATAAAAATAAAAAATAGAAATATTAAATCTTAATTTGAACTGTCCAAATTAAGCCTCTGCCTCAAGGGAGGGGCAAAGAAGGAGTCCTAAACTACATATACCCAAGGAATATCTAAGAGTTTACATTTGTTTTGGAAAAACCATTTTATTGGTATCTATACTTTCTCTCATTTTTTTTAATTTTGCACCAATAGTTTTTTTCCCCTTTTAATTCCTCCCTTTAAGTTTCAAATGTTAGCATCGTTAACTCTTCAAGATTCATTAATAGTGGCAGGGACTTACAGTGAGAGACATCATTAACTATGAAGCTTGGAGGGGAAAACAAAAACGCACAAGTGATCTAGCTCTCATTAGGTTTGGGAAAAACAAAAACACACGAGTTGAGAGATTGTGGTGGCATCCTTGGTTTTGTTCTCTGGTTCAAGGAAACTACAAGAGACAGCTTCTGCTCGATTTTGATCACTCTCAGTTGTTTCCATTTGCCTCTAAGATTGAAAGAGAGGTTTAAATGCATTACGTTCTACTCTCCCCAATGCATAGGTGTGTGCATTAAGCGATGTATCATGTGCACGCACGCACTAAAGTGCTGTAGCATTCTGTTCTTCATGCATTCTTCTTCTTCAACATTTTTTCTTCTATGTTTTCTCTTTACCACTACGTTGTTTTGTTTTTGAGTTGTATATTTATTGCATTTAGGTTAAAATATGGAACAATATAATGTGTCAGATATAGGGAGTGGGGATAAGAGTTTAGATGATGATTTTTTGTCCACTAAACCAGAGGATAGTAATGAGGCAGAATTGGGGGATGATTATTTTCAACATTTTATTAATGTTGAAGTTGGGCAAAGTAGTGGGAGTTGTTTTAATGTCTCAGGAAGCCAGCTTGAGTGTTCAGAGATTATTCCTGTGTCTAGGCAATGTGTTGAGAACATTGGAGATATGTTCTCTGATCTAGATGATGATGAGTTGCTTGAAGAGTACATAT